ACCCTTCTGAAGGACGACATCAGTCAATCATTTTACATCTGGGTCACAACTCAATACTTTATATGGGAGTGTTTGTCTCTAATGTCTGTCGTGGATCTGGGATGGCAGAAGGAGCAACGCTATGACCCAGTGAGCGAGATCGAACGAAGCGAGATCGCCTGGGCAACGCCAGCATCCATGGACCAGCGAAAAGGCCGCGTGGGGCGCGTCTCTCCTGGACGTTGCTACCGATTTTACCCGCGAAGCCTGTACACACTCCTCCTGATGCACGCAGAGGACACGAGCGCTGCTGCACAAATAGTTGCACCTAGAAGTAGAAGAAGCTCTAGTAGTACTATTGGACTTGGAGACGAGGAGAAGGGCCATACATCAGAGCAAGAAAGCGCTAAAAAAGCAGAGGACCACTCTGCGACGGGGGAGGGCTTCGACTCCACAGTGGACAACGACGAAAGCGAACAGCCACGACCGCCATTGAAAAAAACGTCGCTGCTTCTCCTGCGTCGTCCTTTGGAAAGACTGGATCTTGCGCGTGTCATTCTTTACCTGTCACGAGTCCACGCCTGCCTAAGTGAGCATATGCGTTCGTTACCCTACGCTGGGAAGTGTGATGTCGATCCAACAGAGGGCCGCATAGAACGCGTCTGCACACACTGGTGCAAAAATCGTCAAGCGTGGGTCTATTTAAGGCTTCAAATGATCCATCTTAATGTGATGAGACATCCTGGATATTTTTTCATCAAGAGATGAAACGCAAAAGCCTCAGTACGTCTTTCTTCAAGATGCAGATAATAGAGGGCACCGCGATACTGCTCTTCAAGATATTGATGGATCATTTTTGTAAGCTCTAATTTACAGAGCTGTGCTACGTGCAGACGAGCATGAAGGAGGTGCAGACAGTGCTCGAAAAGAAGCCGGTCTTCTAGAGCAACAACTTCGAAATTCATTCCTTTGGATTTTTGCACTCCTGCTTCCTGATCCCCCAGATTCCGCATTGGTGCTAGAAGCGTTGCGTCGGATGTACAAACAGAACCTCATAACCACTACTACCGCTCCTCCAGCTAAATCGCACGCTACTTTATTTCCTTGGATCGAGAAGCACGAGAGGCAGAGGGCTCCTACCACCACAGGAGCCCCTGGAGGCGCAGAAATTAAGGGTAGGCTAAAGGTGCTTTTGTTACGGTTTGTTATGCCTCTTTCCCTTAGGTGGGGACAGCCATAACAAGCGGGATAAACGAACACCAAAACCCTACCTCTAAAGCAAGCAGCCCCCCTCCGGAGCCTCTGCCCGCATCAAGCCTCTCTTTGCTTGGTCGTTTTGCCAGCCATTTGTGCGAATTTCCACTCGGCGTGGCAAGACTAATTTTTCTGGGCTGGGCACTAGATGATCCGAACTTGCGCCAGCTTTTCCCTCATTCCATCGCACTTGCGACTGCGGTGGCTGCTCGGCACGACGCCATCGAGACTCTATTGTCTCGTGACAGAAACGACGAAATCTCGAATGGTACTAGCCGCACTAGTCGTGTTAAGGATTAATTATATTGCTTCACATTTATATGTACAATTGCAGACACCAGCACTATAACTAATCCTATTCGTTGTTTTCTTTTCAGAAGTAGGAAACTTCTTATTAGTGATCATGGCCATATCGGAGGTACGGCGCACCCAAGAAACAACCTCTAAAAATGATGGCAAGAAGACGAGTAGCAAAAGTGATGCGCTCAGGCTAGGACGCTTCCACGAGGCACTGAGATATCGCTTTGAAGAACTAGATGGTGGCGACTACAGCGAAGTCCTCACATCTTACAGACACTTCAAAGCCTGCAACATCTTTAGAAAGCTAGAACAAAAAGATGATAAGCTTTTAGCCGCGTCAAATCATCATGATGCAGCAACAGAACGATTCCGCGACCAGCGTGTGATCGAAACTCATGTGCGACCACTCTTCCGACGTATCCTAAAGAGGGTGAGCTCACTTCTTCAGGACCTTTCTCTCTACTTTGTTCCTGAGACTAATTCTAATAAAGGGCGGTTGGAAAGGGACAGTAGAGACACGACGACGACACAATCTTCACAAAGACAAAGACAAAGACAAACAACTACTTGCTGCATGCCAAGTTGTAGCTACCTACTGAGAGCAACCAACGGATCCGTTGATAATGGACATGGACTACACGATGGACTCGACGTGTCTGTGACGATGAGCACTTTTCTTCTGGCAACTGCACTAGCGCCGGCAAATGGACCCGTCGTTTTTGGTCGATTCGTGGGACCCTTTGGGCGTATGAAAGACCAAAAGCAAACCCGAAGAGTGGACCAGTCCATATCTGCCGCTCTCCATGCAGCTAAGCCTAGTAAGCGGTTAACATCTTCATCAGAGTCGAATAAAACGAACATACAGGTGGAGTCTAGGAATATAATTTCTAAGGACGCTACTGGAAGCACGAATCCGAATCCTGTACGTGCTGAAGAATCCCAAAAATATCGCATTGCAGAGCACACATCGCATGGGGCGCTCGCAAACGTCGTAGGTAGTTGTTGGGGGCCGACGTGCACCATCGACGAACTCCCCGCCCGTCTGCAGAAACTTCTACGCTACGCGGCACCCGGTGCGCGGCTACGGACTGTTCGTTGTCATGGGCTGCACGCCGGAGTTTCCGCGACGACACACACACACATTCTCTACAACTACCAGGACGAGCATTCGACTCATGATGAGTCCGTGATCCGTGATCCGTCCGTGACCCGCACTCCGCTATCCGAAACTCTGGCCAGAATCTGCAAAGTAGTCGGGGATCGCGACGACCTCCCTAGAAGTACAACAGATTCAATTTTCCACACTCTTTCAGGGAGCCATCATCCAGCTAAGATAGTTTGGCGAACAACATCTACTTCTAGTACTATAATGAAGAACAAGAATGCTGCAAAAGGAAAAGCATCTTCTACCACTTCTAGTACTATGAAGAATACTGCAAAAGCATCTATGTTGAAGAATGTGGACTTTTCTTGGAGTGCCAGACTGAGCACCATGCTGGCCTTGGAGGACTGGATTGATGCGTCCACTTCTCATCAAGTCGCCGATCCTAGTACTATACCACGAATTAAGGAACAAATTCAAATTGTTTGAAAATGAGATACATCTTTTTAAGCATCGTGGGATATTAGTAGATCGGAATATTTTTAGACTAAAACAAATCCTAGATGATGTTTACAGTAATCGAAAACTGAAACTAACCGAGTTGCTGACTGAAATAAGGGACGTACTAGTTTCGAAAGGCTGCTCTTCCTAAATGTTCAGTATCGCGGCTTCTATTCTCGTCTGTTACTCGGTTATTTCAGTTATTCGAGTAGTGTCTTTTCTCGATATTTTCATTGCTCTAATAGAACCTACGTGGTGCTAGTTTCTTTTCTCGAAATTTTCATTGCTCTAATAGAACCTACGTGGTGGCAGTTTCTTCTCTCGAAATTTCTATCGCTCTAATAGAACCTACGTGACTACATGTTTATGGTAAGTAGTTTGTTTTCTCGAAATTTTCATTGCTCTAATAGAACCTACGTGGTGGCAGTTTCTTCTCTCGAAATTTTTATCGCTCTAATAGAACCTACGTGACTACATGTTTATGGTAGTTTGTTTTCTCGAAATTTTTATCGCTCTAATAGAACCTACGTGGCGATTGGAAGCCATTTCGAGTCCTCCTCTTCTTCAGCGTTTGGGGGGTCAGATAACTATAAGCTTCTGAATTCCACTCTCCTGCCATCTCGTTTTGCGTGGCTTTGGTTGATGGCTTCTGGATATCTCGAAGGCCACGATGATGAAGATACTCTACTCCTTCTAGTCGCGCCCGCGAAAAATGCCCGAAAAAGGATACTATTGAGTTGAGGCTTGTGATAATGTAGATGTAGTAACCCTAATAAATAATTCACTTCATCGTCATCGAGTTCAACAGCTACAGGTCACGTGCCTAGTCTTAAAAATAATTCATTTCATCTAGTTCTATAGAAGGTTAACATTTCTCGCTGTTTCTTCTTTTAGGATTTTGCTTCGGAGGAAATAAGTTCAGGCAAGAAGAACGAGAAGTGAATTACGTTGAACTCATCTAATAATTAGAGCAGGCAAAGCCAAAGCACCACGATGCTAGGATAAGCAACTCGTCAGAGCAACATCAGCCTGATCCGCAAACCGTTCATCATCTGCGGTCAGAGGACATCATTGTTTTAGTTAAGGCTTCCTTTAATTCATCTTGAGAAGCATCTTGGGGCCTTTTCGTTAGCGGGACGGAAGAACGCCAAGGGCGCTATCCAAGATGACTGAAGCAGGCAAGCTCTAAGTTACGGCTGCAATTTCGTGGAAGAGTAGCAATCTTCCAAGAGGCCCACTCTAGTGGAGAGTTTGTTGCCGCACGTAACTTCCGCATAGCTTCGACAGCATTAATGCGCTGTGGGTGCGGTAGTACAACTCGTCTCAGTGATCATGATCGTGGTCCTGAAAATAATCATAACATCGAAAAATTGCGCGAAACGTTGTCTGTTTTGGCTGGAACAACTCGTGTTCCATCCTGCTCCGAACCCGATGGTCACACATCAGAGTCTCCGCATCAGAAGCACATCACAGATGATAGAATAAAGATGCGAATGACGGGGGTGAGTAATACCGATTTGGCCCTTGCCTCGTTCGTCCCAATTTCGTCTCTCCTTTTGACGACCGCAGAGGACGCTGAAGAGCGACGGCAAATGTGTTTTTCTAGCCAAGAAGGAAAAGAGCACGTACTTCAACTTCGGCCTATTGGTCACTTATTAGAAGAGGACCCTAGTACTAGAAGAGGACCGCTACACCCTGACTCCGAATCCGAAGACACCGCAGGCACAGTAAAGGACACCCTTTTTATCGATTGAAGTTGTAAGTAGTAGGCCGCATCATCTTCCTCGTCAATGAATCTCTTTGTGACATCGATCCCGAAGCAAGTAGGTCACAATTACCTACAACAAGTGCTGGATGTTGGTGTAGCGGCGATATTCTTTGCACTGCTGGATCTGGATGTAAGAACCAACGGCGTGATTATTTTTGGCGTAGCGGGATCGGGTCATCGATGAAAGCAGTCAGGTTACTCCTCAGGAGCTTGATAAATTTAAGGAGTCATAGTGGGACGCCTTCGGAGCTTGAGAAAGGGGGCCAATCAGAGCAGAGGACATTTCTGAAAGTGTTCATGAGGGAGCACAAGAGACTGCTCCTGCCGGAATACAAGAACTGGAACTATTATCATACGAACCGGAACTAGTACTAAACCTCCAGAGATGGCAGAACACAACTGGCGCCTTTGCTAGTCTTTACATGTAGATCATCTTCCCCCCGATTTCGCTACTTTCATCTATCACTGAGTTTCAAAAATCTCAATAGTTATCAGCCTGGCTTAGAAGTTGTTTATGCATGAGTTAGAGTAGGTTCGCTATCCTCTGCATGAGTTTTCCTCTCAAAACCATAAGTCTTGCTACCAACAAATGGGTCAACGTTTTTTCTGCTAAGTAAAGCGTGGTCAGGTCGTAGTTATCTGGTACTACTGCTTTCATCCTCATTCCCTTGTCCGAACCCATTCCATGAAGACACTGGAATCAAAAAACTAGAACTACTGTTCACAGTAGAGGTCATTCCACCAACAGCAGAGTTGTTCTACGAAAGCAAGACGAGTGCTGCTTTCTGCATTGATTTGCGACGAAGCCACTATAGAAAGCTATCGCGATCCAGATGAGAAGCCATAGAGAGCTATCGCGATCCTCATCTAAAAGGAGCTTCAGCTTGAATTTTCGACCTATTGCTATTTTTTTTGAATTTCTCTCTAAGCAATAATTGATCTCAAGTTGCCAGACGATCCAAGAACTCCTCTACATCTAGATCCAGACCTAGCGATCCTTGTACTAGAAGCACTCCTCTAGATCTCCCAGTGAAGCACTCCTCTTGATCTGCCACGAGCACTCTTGCTTATCTGCGACAGCTGCTCCTTTACAGCAGCGGGAATCAGATACCGTTACAGATCACTTTTGAGCCGTGGCCCCAAGATGGAAATCAATAGGGAGCACTGCACTCGAATTTCCTCAAGAAGACACTTTGGCCGAGTGGTTAAGGCGCCGGCCTGCTAAGCCGGTGGGCTCTGCCCGCGTGGGTTCGAACCCCACAGGTGTCGGAATATTCTGGCATCAATTCGCTAGACTAAACAAAAATCACTGGCGCACTCCGCGAGCACAGGCTGCCACTGAAGGCGACATCCTCACGAGAGGGGGCGCCGACCTGATCGTGGCGAGTAATTTCAACAGCCGCTATAGCTCAGTTGGGAGAGCGTCAGACTGAAGATCTGGAGGCCCCTGATTCGATCCCGGGTCCCGGCATTTTGTCCTCGTTTGTTGGATCCAAGCTGCGGCGCACGTGCGGTGCTCGGTGCTCGTTGTTTTAAAATGGCTCAACAATGATTTTGGTAATGAGCGGAGTGGCGCAGTGGTTAGCGTGTTGGGCTCATAACTCAAAGGTCGGCGGATCGAACCACTCTCCGCTATTTATATATTTACTCAGCCTCCACTTTCTAGTTTCGAACCTGTGAAAAGACTACAGATCTGAAAAACGGCTCCTGTGGCCCGATGGATAAGGCGTCGCCCTCCGGCGGCGAAGATTGCAGGTTCGAAGCCTGCCAGGGGTAGGGCACCATTTTGAGTGAGAATGTGGAGAGTGGTCTTCCTGACCAAAAATAGGAAACAACGTGTTACGGACGGTGAGGCGAACCCCCGCAGGAACTGACAGTGTGTCCGAGAGGTTAAGGAGTTGGGCTTGAAATCCAATGGGCTCTGCCCGCGCGGGTTCGAACCCCGTCGCTGTCGCTTGATGTCCTCAGCCCCACCAAACGCCGCTCTTGCTTCTTGCAACCGCATGCGCCGCAATAGGGACCATGCTCAGCATTCCCTGTGACAAGCACCAGTGGTTTAGTGGTAGAATACGTCGTTGCCATCGACGTGACCCGGGTTCGATTCCCGGCTGGTGCGACTTTTGTCAACTCCAACAGCTGACGGATCGTGCCACGTCCACGCCATCCACGTCGAGACGTAATCTCAACAAAACACTCAATCAATGCCCCTGTAGCCTAGTGGATAAGGCGTTGGACTTCTCATCCAAAGATTGCGGGTTCGAGTCCCGTCAGGGGTGTTATGCCGCTCTGTGAGCTAAGTCGACCGTTAAAAGATCGCCATTTAGGTGAACACCCTCGGCAAATGTACACTGGGCCGCGTGGCCTAATGGATAAGGCGTCGGTCTTCGGAACCGAAGGTTGTAGGTTCGAGTCCTACCGTGGTCATTTCTTTGATGCCTCGGTTGATGCCGCGGCCGGGGGAGCCGGACGCCACCTGCGACAGGGAGCAAGATTGCCATCTTAGCTTAGTGGTAGAGCGTCAGCTTTGTAAGCTGCCTGAAGGTCATGGGTTCGACCCCCATAGATGGCGTCCTCTTCTTGCTCGGGAGCAAAACAAATTTGCAGCCTCGCCTTTGAAGGCAAAATTGTGACTGGACTTGTCGGGGTTCGAACCCGAGGCCTTCTGCATGCAAAGCAGACGTGATACCACTACACCACAAGCCCGATTAATGGACGAAGTCGCGCCTTCTTCCAGTTCACTTTCTACGAAAGAGATCCAAACTTGTGTACAGTAGTCCCGAAGGGACAAGAAAGGAGGTTCTCTCGTGATCGGACAGCAAGGCCTTCTTAGCTCAGTGGTTAGAGCGTGCGGCTGTTAACCGCAAGGTCGCAGGTTCAATCCCTGCAGGGGGCGCGTTTTTCTGCCAGGCGAAGTACCCAAACGAAGGCAATCTGGTACACGCACAGCTAAAAAATCCGCGACCGGGAAACGAACCCGGGTAATCCGCGTGACAGGCGGACAAACTAACCACTATACTATCGCGGAAGGCTGAAGCAGGTGGAGCTCTTTAAGAAGATTCCTACTAAACGCCTTTGCAATCTACCCAATGTCACGCATGTCATAGCAGTACCAGCGACCAACGCTGACACTCCCCCAGAAGGTCTCATAGCTCAGTTGGTCAGAGCGTACGGCTAAAAACCGTAAGGTCCGCAGTTCGAGCCCGCGTGGGGCCAGATATTCACGCCTATAATAATCATCGAACGGCGCGGCTCCCAGCAAGCACCGGACTGGATTCAGTAAGAACGAAGAAACACCTGAGCATGTCGGGTGTATAGCTCAGCGGTAGAGCGGCTGACTGCAGATAAGCAGGTCCCTGGTTCGAACCCGGGCGCGCCCTTTCTTTTTGGCACTCGCCGTGTGCTAGCCAAGACCAGGCCATAGAAACGAACACATCGCAATATGTCGACAGGCCCGGTTAGCTCAGTCGGTAGTGCGCCAGCCTTTTAAGCTGGTGGTCGTGGGTTCGAGCCCCACATCGGGCGAAATTTTCACGGGCATCGTTCTCCCACCTTTCTAGTGGTATACGAACTAATTCTGCTTCTTTGCATCAAAGTCTACATCGTCTAGCGGTTAGGGCGTCACGTTGTGGCCGTGACGACCCAGGCTCGAATCCTGGCGTGGACATATTTGTTCTCCGCCCTTCTGAGCAGAGTCAAATGCAAGAGTACTAGCGCATAAGGTGCCCACATGCCATCTCACGGCAAGAGGGCTCGTGGTGTAGTGGTATCACGTCTGCTTCGCATGCAGAAGGCCCTGGGTTCAAATCCCAGCGGGTCCATTTATTGGCTGCCGCTAAAACATTTTGTTGCGCCACCGAAGACCAAATACAAAACAATACTTCGGGGTGGGATTGAACCGCCGACCTCCCGCGTGTGAAGCGGGCGCCATAGCCACTAGACCGACGAAGCGTGTTGGCATCTCCTTGCGCCCTTCTGCTGGTTCAACAATTCCTTGCAGCGCGTGCCATCCAGATGGGCTATGTTCCAATATCCTGGACGGCCCTTCTGCCTCTAAAGACACTGTGTCCGAGTGGTTAAGGAGGTGGACTCGAAATCCACTGGGCTCTGCCCGCGAGGGTTCGAATCCCTTCGGTGTCGCTTCTTTGGCGCCAGTGTTGCCTCTCCCCACGAATTTCCGTGAACCGACCTTTTCCACTGATTTATCTGCATCAATGGCAGGATGGCCGAGTGGTCTAAGGCGCTAGCTTAAGGCGCTAGTCCGAAAGGGCGTGGGTTCGAACCCCACTCCTGTCAAATATATTTTCCTTCTGCTGTGCGAAACCGCACGTAGGCAATAACCTCCGCGACCGGGAATCGAACCCGGGTCATCCGCGTGACAGGCGGATATACTAACCACTATACTATCGCGGAAGTTGACATCTGGGAAGCACGTGGGTCCCGATGAGTCCCAGCTATCCGCGACATGTTCTTCCACCTTTAAATTCACTGCCCCGCAATCAAAAGGAGACTAGGCAGGATGGCCGAGTGGTCTAAGGCGCTGGCTTTAGGCGCCAGTTCGAAAGAGCGTGGGTTCGAACCCCACTCCTGTCATTTTGTCCGTGGTGCGGCAAGCAACCTCGAGGCACGTGTGGAACATGAGGCTCTACCACACATTCGCAGCGAAGCAGTTGTCATCCACCTGTGCTGGCGCGTCCATTTCTTCTTTTATCTGTCCGTGTCTGCTTTTGGAACCTCTGTCTGGGGTCAATCAAATTCAGAGAAGTCAACAAGCCCGGTTAGCTCAGTCGGTAGAGCGCCAGGCTCTTAACCTGGTGGTCGTGGGTTCGAGCCCCACATCGGGCGCTTTTTTTTCACTCGCGCTTCACGGCGTTTTCAATGCTCGCTTCGAGAAAATTCCACCAGAGCGAATTCCTTCTGAAATCCAAATTGTCAGTTTGCCCGAGTGGTTAAGGGGGTGGACTTAAGATCCACTGCAGGTAACTGCGCATGGGTTCGAACCCCATAGCTGACATTCACGCATTTCGACATACGCGGTCCGCCATAGCATCCAATGGAAAACGTGCTTTCTAACGGCACGCGCACCAATGGTGTAGTGGTAGCATCCAAGCTTCCCATGCTTGGGACCCGGGTTCGATTCCCGGTTGGTGCACAGAGATTTTGTGGTCGTCTCAAGCCTTTCCGCAGAGGTCTCTACCTGGAAGTTCGCTTCGCTGCAATCCATACGGCCCCTGTGGCCTAATGGATAAGGCGTCGCCCTCCTAAGGCGAAGATTCCAGGTTCGAGTCCTGGCAGGGGTGAGTGTTTCTACGTGCGTGCGGATCGCACTGCCGAGTTCTGTTTCCTCCAGTAAAACGGAACGCGGGAAAGCATGAAAACGCTATTTCGAGCTGCAAAAACACACACAGGGCTGTTCCGGGAATTGAACCCGGGACCTCTCGCACCCTAAGCGAGAATCATACCACTAGACCAAACAGCCAACGTGAATGCCACGTTGGGGGCTTGCCTTGTTAGGCGCTAGCAGGTTTCACCTTCCACTGGGACCACCAGGTTCAGGCCCAGTTGGAGTCGCCATCCTCCAATTAAGAAAACGGCTGTTTGGTCTAGAGGTATGATTCCTCGTTTGGGTCGAGGAGGTCCCGGGTTCGAACCCCGGAACAGCCCTTTGTGACAGTCCGCCATATTTTCCAA